CACAGCGTTACTTTTCTTTACTTTTTCTTATATAGAGTTAATCAATTTGACTAATCAGTGTTTCACATATCAAGAAATAAAGAAACAATCAATTTTCCATCGGTTACTGAAGACGAAAGTTCGTCGAAAAATTGAGAAAAGTAAGAAAGATCTTTCGAAAAAGAGCTCATAAACATTTCGAACTGCCTCTAACAAGAAACGCGAGCTTCCCGACACAAGGCAGCCGCACACAGAACTCCGAAGGTTCCGCGGAACATCGGCGAAGGTTTCGTGTAAATAAATAACAGCCGCCCAGGGCTCGTAGCCGGGGAAACAGAGGAACTCCGCGAGAAAGGTAGGTTCGTGCCTTTAACGGGCCGAGAACCCGGTAAGGAGGTCGTCGGTAACGTGAAATAGAATCGTTACCTCGGGCACGGGCTAAGACGAAAAGAATCGTACCACTTTTGCCGTCACCTCTCGATGCCCGCCGCAACTAGACCGCGCAGAAAAAAACGCGAGAGAGCTGCGGGACGACGAAAATTGCTCCGGCGCGCAACCGCCATTTTGTCGCTCGGCCCGATCCGTCTGTCCACGATTCGGAGCGGAACCGCGGAGCTTTATCGATGTGGATCGTGAGAGATCCGAACAAAAGATACGGCCGAGCCAGGCGCGATGGAAACGCCGTGCGAAAATAAATAACGCGGATGATCAGGCAACAATGACTATTTTATCGCCCCTTTGAAAACACTTCGCGGAATACGGCTGCGAGTTTCACAGGCTCGAATATACGGACCGATGAAACCGCGCGCGGCTGCTTGCTGAAAACAAGACGCCTCGTCGCGTAGTGGCTGTGAACAAAACCTAAAATTCGACTATTCGCATAATGGAAATTGAAGGTTACCAATCTGTTTGCTAAGTAGTTCATTGTGCACAATGATTTTTAAGAAATTAATGAAACCACTGTTTAGAACGTTCGGATTGCGCTATAGACATTCTGGGGTTACTATGTACTTATCTCGTATTTATTGTTAAATGTTAAATGTATTCTACTTCTAACGATGGAAAGTATTCTTTGAAGCATGTAGATTTGCTTCCTCGTAATTTTGTTTACATAATATACTTCTGTATTTATATAACATTGGAATTGAGAGGCAAAGTATCGTCGTTTTACACACTGTATGCAGGAAAGGTAAAAGTACTAAAGTGCTGAATACTTGTACAACTTCTTTAACATTTTTGACAGAAGTAGACAGTTGATTCTCGAAATGAAATGAAACTCTCGAAAATATGTTGAATAATAAATAAATGAATGTAACTGATATAGGTTGAAATGAACAAAATGGCCCGCACGCAATGTGTTAAAAGAGTTCTTGATGTTCCTATAATGTGAACACATATAACAACCATATGTTTAGTTCTATAGCTTAGAAATTTTGTGTAAAGCATTTGTTTGCATTGCTCACACTTTTGAAGTTATTGAGTTCTGTTTGGAAACCGGCCGTTTGGCCGTACTGTGCGTCGACCCCAAGCTTATTAGACGGAACACGTTCGTCCACGCTACTTTTCCTTATCGTTCAATTATGGTAGGACCACATTTGTCCTGGGACTGCCAGGGTTTGCGCGTTCGCGACCAGCGTTGACTGTACGACGATCGACGCTTTGTAACTTGGACGGAGAAAATGATATAAATACTGTGGGTAGTAAAAATAGAGTAACGATGCCTAATATGGAACAACATATTTCGAAAAATAAGTAGCTTAACACGTTGACTGCCACGAGAATTCCGAACATTTTCTGTAACAATACATATTCGCTCATAGCAAATGCAAATGGTATTAGAAATAATTATTAATGACTTGATATCACAGTACACGTGTCGCACTATCATCTAGCTGTTTGTGTTACTAGGTATTTTTATTCGACATCAGTTTTCGTATTGTAATTGTATTTAAGCAATTTTGAAGCTCTGATCACCGGTGACCAACGTGGCAGTGAACGTGTTAACACTAAAACAACCGGACGGGTCAAAATGACCTATTCCTGATTCCTTCGTTTTGCAATTATTAAAAAGATAACAGAGTTCAACAGATTTTCCTGAGAAATTATTGGGAGCGATTTTTCAGCTGTTTAGATTTTTCACCGTGGTTTCTTTCAATTTCCCACAGTCTCTTCGTGTTTTGATGCAAGTTTCATTGAAAAAATGCATATCTCTCATTTTGGCGAGCTTTTCAAATCCGGTGTTCCATATTAGGTGCCGTTACACTGCATGAAAGTGTAAGTTAACACTAGAACTGCCGTACCAGACAAAGCGACTGGTTTTAGTTTCCTTATCCCGCGATTACCGATGTCTCAGAAGTATTAACACTAGAACTACCGAGCATTTCATACGATTAATATGTAATCCCTATAAAAATTGCGACAATATATTATTTCCAGTTTCTTCGGACATTCGTTATAGTATTCGAATGAAACTATTTATTTTCAAGATCATTTCAAATATTGAATGCTTTTAAGATATCAATTGCGAAACAAACAAATCGAAAACAGTCATTTAAACGGTAGTTCTAGTGTTAATACGTTTACGAGCAGCGTATGCGACGATTAACATTTTGCATATTGAACGAAGATGAAATTACTTTCGCGTGTGCTTGTATCTAGAATTCTAAAGCACGGTGCGAGGTGTAGGAAGCTGACGCGATTTCACTTCTTGAATTTGATTTGCATTTTATGAGGGCGTCACGTTGCGTTTAACACTGCACAGATTTACGGGTTCCGTCGATTCGGCGGATATTGAATTCTTTGAGCCTTGTTTCGTAAGAATTTAACTCGATTTTGTTCGATGCAATTTTGCGAATACATATTGTGATTTTCTGTTCTTGAAACGCTAATTTTCGCGATCTGTGTAAACAAACGTGTAGTCTACTAGGAACAATAGAATAAAATATAGAATAAATCTCCGTAAATTTAGCGTTAAACGGCTAATAATTGCGTATAATAATCCTATACTTTCGAAAATTGACTCTCATAAGGTAAGGACCCTAATTATTCGACTCGGATCTCGATACTTTCTTGTAAAATGATAATATATATGTCGTTAATAATATATGTAAAACATTAAGTGTAATTAGCCAATAGTTTCGGAGATATAAGTAATTAAAGTTATATACTTTCTCGCAGTTACTAGAATATACATAATTGTCTCCTTTTAAACCTCCAATTTCCAAGATCCAAATAAACAAATGTCAATTTTTCTAAAAACAACAGAGCAAAGTGTAAAATACCAGTTAATGTAACTGTAAAGATTGCTGATACACCACGAAATAAAAATTCGCCACCGCAAAACTTACAATAATAATAAAAATTACTTCAAGGCTACTGAAACACGTTTGATTTTCTATTTGAACGGAAATTTTGCAAATTAATATACACTTATCGCACCACTTTTCTCTACATGTTTTCATAGAGTTAACAAGTTGAATGCCATGGGGGTCACCGGTGACCCCCAAGCAAATCGAATTACTATAATTCACTCAATTAAACGATGATTATTCGGAAACATTTCTATATTACAAACAATGCTACCCATTGCGGTGGCATTCAGTTTGATGAACGTGCAATGATAATAATCTACTTCAGTCAAATGATTTGATATTGTATTTTTTCCATTTTGTGTACTTCGCTCTATGAAATCGCGCGGCGTTCAACGTGTTAACCGATTTGGCTAACGAGTGATTGATGTACATACACGGTTTCGCGTCGTGTGAAATTCGTGAAAATCGGCGCGCAGGTTTTTCACACAGTCGCACTCTTCGCGCAACAAATCCGTGTGCACCAGGGGTGGCCAAACCGCGGCACACGCGCGGAACGTGGCGCATTAAATTATTACAATCATTGCATTGCATTCTAGCGTCTACTTATTCTTCTTCGCCCTTTGAACTCTGTAGGCTCCAATATTGCACCAGGAATAAGATTAGATATTTTAATGAATCTTAACCCTTTATAGGCTCGTGTGACTTCGAAGTCACGCATCAGTATGCCGGGTTAAATTGATTTATTTAATTTTTTATTGCAAAATGACGCAGCTATAAATTTCATACGCTTATTGTATAAGTGTTAAACACAGCGTACGTTACGATTCATTGTAACGAGTCGCGCAGTGCGCCACCGAATTGTACGACGCATCCGAACTCGTCCGTAAAATCGTCCGTGGAGAAGGTTGACCACCCCTGGTGTACACGGTTTTTCACACGTTTTTAAAGCAACGCTACCCCCGTATGCCTTTAAGAAGCGGTGGCACGCCTCGCTCGTGTTTGGGTAACATCAACCGGTTTCCTAAATCGTCTCGGCCGCCTAAAATGGGAAGCAATCTGAAAAATGAGCGAGATCACGTTATATTACGCTTTTTCCTTTCCATTCCTGCGATGTATAAAATGTTTCCGCGTGAGCAGTGCGCGACCGGTGGCACGCAGTTGACCACGTTTCCCAACGTTTACATAATACTTGAATTATGATGCGCTAATTCGTCGGAGAGATTGCCCGTTCGAAAGTGACAGACGTGCGCCGGACGTGTTGCGCCGAGCAAAATATTCCTGGCGCTAAATAGCCCGCGTTCGTTTTAATTCGCGTAGATTATCTTCGTAACATGATGCTTCTCATTAGTTTAGCTTTCATTTCTCATTATATTACGATGTTTGTAAGGTAGAATTATAAACATAGAGACAAACAATGGTTTGTGGAGCATGTTTAAATTTTAGGTTTTAGGTTGTATGATTTCCTTTGGTTTCAGTACTTATTTTGTACTTAATATTCGTTAATGTCAGTTGAAAGAACTTATTTCGAGACGAATGTGAGTTTTTAATGGCTTTTAGAATTATTTCGAATTTCACTGTGAAATGTTAACAGTATGTTCTTGAAGATTCATACGTTTGAAAAAGTTAAAGTCGAGTTTCTTCAGTAGAATGAACTTGGTATATGTCAAGTATTGATGATTTTTTGAAAAATGGTTTATCATATTGTTTCAGGAGGAGTATGTAGCGGAGAATATAAAATGGACTCCGATAGAGTATTTTAATAACGCGATTGTTGTTGAACTTCTTGAAGGCAAGCGTCCGCCAGGACTTTTCTTGGTACTCGATGATGTTTGCGCCACTCTGCACGGCGGTAGCAGCGGGGCTGATGCTGATTTGCAAAAGGTAAGGGATTTCGCCTAAAAATGTTCATATAATTAGAACTTATCGTACCGTAAATAACTCCTGATTTTAACAATTTTATTTTATTTTAACAATTTTACCGTTAAATGTATCATCGAAAACAGTTACATGCATCTATGACTTTTCTTTTCATGCATGTATCATTTATTTATATGTTAATATGCTCTTTCTACTAAAACTGCTTCGAGTTGCTGGTTACATCACTGCGGAAAAGCTTCGTGTGCAAAGGGTTAATTACTTATCTCCTAATATTTTCATTTTCAAATCAATCATTTTCAAAATCGAAATCTTGCAAAGTTTTATTTTACGATTTTATAGACGTAAAAAAATAATGTACTTTTGTTCGCTATCCCTTACCGTTTTCAAGATAATTCAGGCGATAGAAAAGTTTGCATCTTTTCAAGGGGTGGTTTCAAGGTGAAGTTCGGCACGAAGAAAATTGCAATATATTACGATTGACTTACTCTGCTTACAAAAATAATGGAGTTAAAAAATACAGAACATTTTTTCGCGTGAAGTTTCATTCGCAAGTGAGATCGTAATGAAAATGTCAGATTGAATTTAATAAACACTAAGAATATTATTCAGTCGACGTCAAATTAGGAAATAGTACGTTACATTTATAAATATTCCATTTTTGTCGTTCCTATTGAGAAATCATTGTCAATAAAGCACTGCGTATAAAACAGTCATTAGACTTTGAAAGCTACGTTTAACCCTTTGCACTCGAGAGGTGACCCTCGGTCACCACTTGATTTGATACAACAAAACTATGAAGTTGAATATTTAGTATTTTAAATTAAATTTTGTGTCGCTATGTGAGATATTCAAATAAATTAGCTTTATTGCTTAATTTATCTGTGAAGTATCGTTGAGTTAGTTTGAAACAATGTCGTCTGCATCTCGTTGGAAAACATTGAATATTTCTTGTGAAAAACTTTCGAGTGCAAACGGTTAATTCTCTTCACCTCTTCACGGAATGCCACGAATGTTTACAGAAACTTACAGTGGCAGCGAACAAGCACGAACACTTTCAGAACACGAGCGACGGATTCTCTGTGTTCCATTACGCTGGAGTGGTTTCTTACTCGGTGGATGGATTTTGCGATAAAAATCGGGACGTGTTGTTCTTAGATGTGGTAGAACTGATGCAAACAAGCACGAAGTAAGGCATTTCTATACTGCGTTAACCAGTCAACTGTGTTTGACGTCATGGAGAAGTTGCAGGATTTCGTGTCATGACGAGTATACTCGTCATGGTAAAAAGTAGCGACCATTGGCTATTTAAATTGTAATTTCTGTGAAAAGCCAATGGTCACGAGTACACTCGTCATGACAGAAAATCCTGCAACTTCTCCGTGACGAGTATACTCGTCAAACGCAGTTAACAGGTTGAAATGAGTACAAAGGATTGCTTATAATTAACATAACACGTGACGTAATTTTAAATTACAGTCCTCTGATTCGGAAACTCTACCCGCAAGAGACTCAGGTGCAAAAAACAAAGACGCTTAAATCGAGGCCAACCACTGCCGGCAATAAAATTCGAAATCAAGCCAGTCAGTTGGTCAGTCAGCTGATGAGATGCACTCCGCATTACATTCGGTGCATCAAGCCGAACGAAACAAAGAAGCCTAGGGATTGGGATGCGGTCAGGGTGAAACATCAGGTAACCTTTGCAGACGTCTTTTAACCGTTAAAATGCTGAGTGGGCTCCTATAGGGAGACCGGAAAGTATAATTTTTCGTAATTTTTCATATTTTATGTATTTTCTCTTTTTTCATCGTCTCCAGGAAACCCCAGTATGTTCATAGCATATTATCCTTAATAATTTTGTAAGTAGTTTCTTGTAATTTTTCATATTTTATACATTTTCTCTTTCTCATCGTCTAGTATTGTGGATGATTTGTCTATTCTGAAAACATTATTTTGCTTTTAGCTATAAACATACTGGGGTTTCCTGGAGACGATGAAAAAGAGAAAATACATAAAGTATGAAAAATTACAAGAAATTACTTACAAAATTATTAAGGAAAAATACTTTTTGGGCTTTCCATAGGAGCCCACTCAGCATTTTAAGGGTTAAAGCGTTCACTTAGCATCGCGGTCGCCGGTGTTCGACAATTTTCCGGTCTTCTCGACCAGTTTCCTGAGCTAAATCGGTCATTGCATTCGTTCGACTAAATGACAAGTAAATGACACCGTTAACGCGTTCACTGAATTACTTGAAAGCTGATGAAACGAAGTATTCTTTGAAATAATCTTCATTTCATTACTGCATCGTTACAAGTGGATGATTATGTAATAAATTGTGCCAAGACATTGTGTCAACGAATTTATATTGTGTACACACAATAAGTATCAACATTTTGTCAATTATTAACGCGTTCAGTGTGAAAATGTTTTTAATATATACGAAAACGTAGCGAAGACATAAAGAAACAATATGAATATATATTAAAATGACAAAAAACTCGAATATAATTTAATATTTCATTAAAATAATCAAAACTGTTTATAAGCAAAATATAACCGAAATTTCGATGGCACGGAACGCGTTAAAGATCGTTACAGTTAACACCACAGGAATTGCAATAATTTCAAATTTTTATTATCTATAAATGTCTGTGATCTATGTTTCTCGTGATTGTTATTATTATTGTTACACGTTGCGGCATTTAGGTGGAATACTTGGGCTTAAAAGAAAATATCAGAGTGCGCAGAGCTGGCTTTGCATACAGAAGAACGTTCTCGAAATTTTTGCATAGATACGCAATTTTGACGAAACAAACGTGGCCGCAGTGGTCCGGCGACAATAAGCAAGGAGTGGAGTGGATATTAGGTAGTCTGCACATCGATCGATCGCAATATCAACTGGGGAAATCGAAGTTGTTCATTAAACTTCCCGAATGCGTGAGTATAGATGAAATTTCATTAACACGTTGAACGCCGCACGATTTCACAGAGGAAAATGCACAGAATGGAAAAAATATGATAATAAATGATTTTCGAATTGCATTGTTACTATTACACGTTCGTCTAGCTGAATGTCACTGTATTATGTAGCATTCTTTATAATGTAGAAACGTTTTCATATAATCGTCGTTTCATTGAGTGAACTACAGTAACTCGATTTGGTCGGGATCACCGGTGACCCCCATGGCATTCAACGTGTTAACTTTCACCCTTGCTTTAGGGTAAGTCGGAGAAAGATGGTTCGCTTTTTTCAAAAGAATTGTTATATTATAAATATCATTAACACTGGAACTTATTGCTCATACGAAAGAAGATCACTCCAGTTTATTAGAATCAATATTCAAGGCGGAATTTTTAATTGTTAGCTAAAGATACGTGGAAGAAACATTAAGATACATATTCGTGCAGCTCCATCGCTCGAAGCTAATATAAATATTTACCAAATAATGTTTATAGAATTCTATATGCGTCGAATTGACGCGTTTCGCTAGCCTAGTGTTAATGAGACAAAGCTGACATTCGTATTTCTAAGGGAAATATAGTTGAAAGATTCGAACTTTTGTTATAATTATGATATAATTAAGATATTATATATTATAATTCAGATTCGAACTTTCATTATAATTATGATTAATTAACGATTTCGCAGCTTTTCATGCTGGAGGAGGCGAGAGATCGGAAATATAATATGTACGCTAGGATCATTCAGAAAGCGTTTAAAAAGTATTTCGCTCGGAAAAGGCAAGCCCAGCAAAAGCAAGAAGCGGCTGATTTACTTTTCGGCCATAAAGAACGTAGACGGGCCAGTCTGAATAGGAACTTTATGGGAGATTACATAGGATTGGAAGGCAAACCACAATTAATGCATTTAATTGGAAGAAGAGAGAAAGTCTGTTTCGCAGAAATCGTGAAGAAATATGATAGAAGATTTAAGGTACCTATTTTATAAGAATACTTCTTTTATTCGAACTTTTAAGATTGTTTAACACGTTCGCTACCAGCGCTTATTTCGGTGACGGTCTCCTGAATTATATCTTCTTCGAACCAATAAATTTAAACAAAATATTGGAAAAATGAAACTGAAACGAGTCATTGAGTTCCTAAATATAACGTCGTAGTTTATAATTTCTAATAACAATGTCTATAGAATTAATTTGGTTTTCATTATGTAAAATGAACTGCTGGTAGCGAACGTGTTAAGAAGCATATGTAGATTTAAAAATTGATTTAATAAGCGTACATTGTTTAACAAGTAAAATTACGAGTTACAGATGAGCAGGAGAGATCTTATTCTTACCAACAAATGTTTGTATCTAATCGGCCGTGAGAAAATTAAAAAAGGCCCGGAGAAAGGACAAATGATGGAGGTGATAAAGCGAAAGCTTCCGTTTAATCAAATTAGTCATGTGTCATTAAGTACTCTTCAGGTAAATGGATTATTATTAATCGACATGGTTTCTATTATTCTTGTGTAACGGTGGTTATTAATGTCTGATTAATTGTCACAGGACGATTTCCTTATTGTTCATACGAAAGAAGATTACGCTAGTTTATTAGAATCAGTATTCAAGACGGAATTTTTAATTGTTCTTAGCAAAAGATACATGGAAGAAACTGGTCACGTTTTAAACAAAAAATTTAGTAACAAGTACGACTTATATTAAAGGATATTTGATTCGATACTCGATGAAGAATAATACTGATACAATCCTTTTTACAGTTTAGAGTTCAAAGTGAAAAAAGAAGGTTGGGGAGGTGGAGGAACGAGGCAAGTAATATTCACGCAAATCGATTATGGCGACAAGGAAATTTTAAAACCGAGCGGGAAGATCTTAAATGTGTGGATTGGGCCAGGATTACCATCTACTACTAGTATGTTATTAGTAAATTATGAATTTAACATCTGTATAATTGGAGTTTATAAATTTGCTTGTGAATATCTATATTTGAATATAAACTGTACAATTAACGTTTCATGTACAATACAAATCTCTATTAAATATTAAACTCATTACTATAAATATATGAAATTAGGAATCTGGTTTACAAAATGAATTTTATCATCGTTTTTATAAAAATAATAATTAATTGTATTCTTGTCCTGATTACACATGAATTACAATATATTTCTGTCAATATTCCAGAACCAAATATTAACAAATCAGAAACGACATCCATGAGTCGACAGCACGGCATGTCGAAATATATTCAACCATTCTCACAAGCCAACCAACAAGTACCTGCCAACAGGCCAACGCGACCAGCTCCAAGACCTGTAAATACTGAGCGAATTGAAAACGTGCACAAAACAGTTCCTAGTGATCAGACAATGTCTTCAAAGCCAGTTGTACCTTCTCAAAGGCCTACTTTACAAATTCCTAATTCTTTAAGACCGTCACCGCTCGCTCGTACGAATGTACCAGCTGCAGAGGTGCAACAGAAGACCAGTACAACGAAGCAACCAAATAAGTTACAAAACAATAACATACCACTCATGGGAATGTTCACTAACAATAATAATTCAAAAGGGGCAGCCAGAGGTAAGTGAACTCTACTCTCAGTTGGATTCAAATGTTCAATAATAAACTGTATTTTATTCTGTAAATTTGCTATGAGAAGATGTTTGTACAGCTTAAACTAAAGTGACTTACAGCAATATCTTAAGATTTTGGAATTTTATGTTTGGAAATTTACAAAATAAATAACTGTTCCTGGAAATATTTACTCTGAATAGATTGTGCTAAGTTTTAATGAATAAAACAGGATTCTTGAGATTTCCTCCGCCACCTTCTGAACCACCCCCACCTGGCACACCAACTATGGCACCAGCATATAAACTCCTCTCAACAACTGATAAAAGTACAGGATGCAATAAGGAAATGCAGACGGTGAAAGAATGGAACACAAAGTCAGTATTGGAGAAACCACAAAGGGCACACGCGCCTCGCACTGCCTCAAATACAAAACCACAGAAGCCACCTGTGCCTAGCCTGCCCAAAGGTAAAGCTATGTATGACTACAATCCGCAGGATCTAGATGAATTGGCGCTAAAAGAAGGCGACATTATTGAAATACTCAAAGAACGTGAGTTTTTTTAGTTTTGTTTAGGATTTAATCTTTGTCTCAATCTATGTATTTATTTATTATTCATTTAATTATGTGTTTCAGACGAAGGTGGTTGGTGGCATGGAAGATTAAGGGGAAAGACAGGGCTCTTTCCATCAAATTATATTGAAAAGATATAATATACAAAATATACAGTTAAAAACTGTTGCACTGAATCAATTATTAACAGTATATTTTATACTGCAGGTAGAATGTGAGTTGTAAAAGGAAGAAAAGTGTTTTGAATGAAAGAGAGTAATATATTGATACCTAAATAGTAGTGTTTTTATCGTTTTTAAAACTGCACAATATATTTATTATTGAAGAAGATATGTCACAAAATTAAAACAAATAAATCAAAGTTTTGTACAACTACCGTTTCTAAGGTAAACGAAATGCAGTTTTAAAAAGCGATATTTAAAATCTGAATAGTCACTAGAAGTTACCAAACATTAATTTAAGTAGTTTATTACCTTTTATACTGTTAAATCTGGTTAAATGTTACATTTGTTAGGCTATCTAACCGTAAAAGATTTTGTAAAGTGTTTATCATTTGGAAAATTTACAACTTTCTTAATCGCGGAATGCATTTTTTAGGAACCCAAGAATGTTATAACATTTGAATAAAAAGATTTATAATGTTATTTATAATTAAAAAAAAAATGAACTCTAAAGGAACTGTGTACAGTACACTGATTTAAGAATTAATTTACGCTTAATGATTTCGAAGGTGTTAATACTTCAAATTATATTACCATGCAGTACCTAAGATTAACATTAAGTTGTAAAGTATTATTTCGGAGACACTTATTTTTTATCTATTCAGTAAGTAAAAGAAATAATACTGTTAAGTTGACAAGTTGTCATACAGAATAATGTGCGAAAAGATTTAGACAAATTTCAAAGCATATAATACTCGCTAAATCGAATGAAATATACACGTATATTCAATTTCTATAAATTATTAACATTATCTTCTATGCCGTAAAAAATGTGTACGTTTAAATACAAACTCTGTTTTAAACATAGTTGTTTCAAACACATTTTTTATTCGACGTTGCAAACTTAAATTATAATTATTGAGGAGTATTACGTGCAACCGAGTAGTTCATCTGTTTCTCAATGAAGAAACCAACATCAGAGAAATATATTGTATATCTTTCCATGGAAGTTTATTTTATAGTGTTCAAAATTTTCAATAAAACCTGAATGAAAATTTATTTGTTGATTTTTCATGTCAAAGTAAAAAGAACAGTGGAAGTAACGACATTATAATAAACCTTGTTCTTTTAATTATAAATGGTTTGTTTTACTTGAAGTGCAATGGTGCAGAAGCTTACCTTGTAATAAAATAATCAAATTCTGACACAAAATGCTTTGCAGTTATTCGCCTTCTTGATTCATGAACATTCCGATATTCCTTTCCTTTCACCTTGAAATGATTAAATCTATTAACTCATACTTACCGTTGTCAGATGTAAAATATTTCCACGACATTTGAATCTATTTCACTTATTTCCCCTTCGTTTTCTTGAGAATCAGTTCCAATTCTTAAATTTAAACTTCTACCTTTTTATCGAATTGTTCTGGATACATGCACCGTTTACTCTGTATTATTCATTATTAGGATATGAAAAAGGAAGAATCCAATACTTGGAGGGCATATAGAACGATACCGTAATATACTAGCATTGTTTAATTACTATCCTTCATTTACATCAATGTCAGAAACGGAAAAAAAACATGTTGAACTGTTTCCCATTTTTTTGTTATCCGTTATTCGTCAGACTCGAGCGTTACCAATAAGAAATAGTAAGATATCGTTTTATTCATGATCTGTAAACAGATTTTTCATAGAATCAAGTTTCAAAAGACTAATATACAGTAGCACCTCGATGATCTTCAATAATTACGGAAACATTCGAGTGTACACGAATAAAACTGACATACTGTATAATCTAGGAACAAAAAATGATTGATTTTTGGATAACCAAAACTTTAAACGATTTGAATCGCAAAGAATAATGATTAATCGAGATCCTACTGTACAATAAAGAATTTACTTTACCTTAGCAAAGAGATCCAAAGAAATATTCAATAAACTACACGCGTTCAGGCTCATCTTCCGCTGTGTTAGGATCATGAGAGTGAGTTTCGCGGATCTGGTCTCTACATGATCGAACCAATCGTTAGAGTAAACCTCGCGTTGAAAAATTTCGCTCTATTCACAGAGAAATTCTTTGAATATTTAAGAGAGATGGGCGTAAAATCGACTGAAAGCTACAGCACTCGTATGTATAGAGAATAGACAAATACGTATAGTGTGAAAACTCTTAGATTCTATTTCTTTTAATTTATTTTCAGATGGAATGACTTTTCCAAATTTTCCTGTAGGCATTCTGAGTACAGCTGTTGAGACTTCAACTGACTTAAAATTCAGTTTGCATATTAGTAAATCAATTTCTTTAGTAACTTCTCAAAGAATCATCCCTTATCCTGTTAGTAATTGGGATAGAAGAAATTAGGAATCGATTAATTTGACTCGTTTGGTAGTTCTGGTGTTAAAGATCAGTTTTAGCTTTCGGTCGATTTCACAATCATAGTAAATCTTCTCTAGGGTATGAGAGATCAACACTTTCGTTACGGTAGGTAACTATCCTTAAAATATTCGGCATATACTAGAGGTAACTGTAATTATACAGTTCACCGTTTCTTTTATCCTAAACACGATTATTCCCTTAAATTTCGTATCAATTAACCCTTCGCGCTCGGCTGTCCCTCTGATGGAACATCAAAGTTTATTAATAATTACGGAAAATCAACTTATTCCAGCGCAGCTTTTTGAGAAATGCATGTTTCCCTAAAATTTTCTGTTTAAATAGCAGAAGAAATCAAATCAAAATGTGGCACAATTATTAAGATATCTGAAAAAAATATCAGCCGGTTCACGTCGGAAGAGAACGCGAGAAGAGCGCTCACGTTTTCGCGACAAAATGACGCCGAGTTGCTGGTAGGTAACGTTCGGGATAGTTCCAAGTGCAAAAGGTTAATACTCTGGTTAAATTTAGTTTTAAAACTGAATTAACGTAAGTTTTTCTTATAATTTGCTGGCCATATACTAGTTTAAAATAGATGAAATGCACAGCTAATGGTTTCCATAACACAAAACAGCGGATGTTTGTGTTGTTGACAGTTAGCACATTTGATTCTGCCATAACGAAAGGGTTAACGTGTGGCCATACGCGATAGAAACCTCATAGGCGACCACGTCCCCGGGCCAAGCGTAGGTAAGTGTCTGGAGTACTTTCCCAGTAAGGAAAATGATTAAAGTGCAGGCTTTCTCAATCGTGATTTCCTTGGTTTGCTGCGGAAAAATAGGTAGTGTCTTGTTAACTTCTGGCACTTGTCATTGTTCCATATAAGGGGTAAGGTTAATTTTTTTTTTTCGCTGATTAAGACATCATCTTTTAACAAACTATTTTTGCTGATTCAATTGGCAATCGAAAAACAATGTTTTTGTTAATAACACCCAGAAAAACGTTGAATTTCTATAAATTTTTAAAATTGCTGATTGAACGTTCGTTCTTGGTAATACCGCAGAATCCTGACGATAAAATCAATTTTCGTGAAATTGTTGTAGAAATAGATGTTTCCATTTTCTTAAGAAGATTCATCTCTTTTAGTTCTCGAGGTAAATGCGAAACACTTTTGGTACGACATTGAATTCTAATACAGTGAAAATTGGGTAATCGCAACCGAATGATCGCAAACAAATGATTCAATTACTTGAACAGCTAGAGATCGTAATTTCCACTTTTTCTATTGTTTAAGCACTTGACGTATCATTTGAGTGAAAACACTCTTGGAAGTTGAATTCGAATGAGCTTTTTTACAAGATAATTCTAAAAAATATTCTACACCTTCTAGTTTCGAGAGATATTGCAAAAAGTATCCTTTCAACCTTCAACTTTGACAGGCGTGTTCAGCCCTTCAAAGTGGATGTTGGCCGATGAGAAGGAACACGAGTCAAATATTTTCTTAAGAAGTACGCCTCGCGTAAGTCAAGTTCACTCACCTGCAGGATTTCGAAAATCATGCCGCACATACCCACAGTGTTCAGCGTCGTAACCGTCAAAACGATGGGCCCGTAGATCTCTTGAATATCGTCCCGACACTTGATCAACAAAGCGTGTCGCCTGATGCAGCTTCGTAGAACGTTCACAGAATTTGCCACGTCGTTCCTGTCTTCCGGCAGTCGTTTCAATTCCCTGGCCATCGCCCGGAACTGCGTAGCTATGTAAAATGCGCATAGAGTGAAGTACATGTCCACCCCGGTCGCGACGGCGAAAAATGAATAGCAAATGCCCGTTTCAAATAAATAATGGAGCACGAAGATCGCGGTCGAATCGATCGGCCAAGGGTAAATCGAGGGAAGCGGCGTCGAATGATTCGCGTGACGAACCGTCATCGCTATCAGAGGCTTGATGGAGTAGAGCGTCGCGGTGAAAACCAGGCAGATGTACGCATAGTAGCCCAGCCGATAAAATGGCACTGTCCACTGCAAAACGGAAGAACCTTCCGATTGTTGCGCCGACGACTCCACGAACAGGGTTTCGAGCACATCGTTCACTCGCGCCAGTTTCTTCCGGTGAACGATAAATTGCAAGGTCTGGAAATTACATGAATCGGTTGCACACGCGACGCGCCCTTACCGTCTTCTTGTTCTTTTCCGTGGATATTGAGTACATTTCTATGAATATTCGAAATATTCTCGAAGAATGATATAGTTAGCGACGTAAGTATATGAACAGCATGGTAAGAAAAGGATTATTGAAAGAATTGTGTCGTATATACATGCGATAAGATTTAAAGAAATATTTAGCAATGTGTAAATTATGTAACATTTATTGTATAAGTATGCTTAATGTTCGAATACTTTTGTTAACTGTATATTCTTTGGGAGATTCGCATAAAGGACGTTGAATGCACGGTTTCATACAGCAAAAGACAGAATGGAAAGATATAATGTTAAATCATGTGTTCGAATTGCATTATTATTGCACGTTGACTGAATGACGTCGCATTATTCACAATATAGAAATATTCCCATAGCATTCAACGTGTTTATCCTTTCTCTCGTTTCGGTTATTCCGAAATTGAATTATAAGAACGTAAAGTATCGCTTGACACGAACGTACCTTTATAATGCAATTCACAAGGCCATTAACCGCGGCGAAACATGTAATGACCACGCTAATTTTCGTGATATGGTGCACTAGAAAACTGATTACGGCGTAGCTGTTAATACAGTAGCTCAGAATCAAAACTCTGGGCAGGTATTTACTGACGATGCTCTGCTGATGCGGATACAATCCGCAGGCCAGTTGGCAGCGTTTCACTAGACTGGTGTAATCCCTGTACACTGGCAACTCCTTTGACATCGTTGAAATCCTACGAACAATTCTACCGGGATCGATAAATAACCGTCGACGATCTTCTATAAAGTATACCCAATTAGGAATCCGTTGGTCATCGTTCGACCAATTCTTCGGCCGACAATTTCGTTAAATTGCTCGCGAGGAATCGGCAACGTCGAATCATTCATTACGATCGCTCGGTTCTTTTGTAAATTAGACGTTGCGATGCGCAGGGAATTTGCGATCAGCTATCGCACTTCATGAAATTTTTAAACAGGCTTTCAACTGCTGTGCGCGCTGAAGAAATCGCGTACAACCGCCGAAGGGGAAGTTACGACGGAAGTGCCGGTTGCAGCGTCGATTTTGTCAATTTCGCGATCGTAGCATTTTTTCAAATGTTCTGTTCAGTTTTAATACGGAAGGACAGTTTTATAAACAATTTTGTTAATTGTGTAACAATGAAAAGTGTACTGGCGTGATTTGTTTGTATCTCTGGGAAAAGCGCATGACGGGTTGATGTTATTGAGACAAACGCTAATAACACATCGTAATTGTCACTTCTATATTTACTAATTAAAATTAAGAGCTAGATTTACAACATCTACAAAAATGTCTATGCTCGTTTAGTCTCCAAAAGCAAAACAAGTTAGTGAACATCGAGAAGTTTCTTCTTCGAGAGGTCGCCATTTCCTTACACACGGACATTTTTAAGTAACTCTATCTCAGATTGTGGTGACAACTTTTCTGATTACGGTACCTGGCTTTCTTTTATTTCGAAGGAACACAGATGCGATCGCGATCGATATTAAACATCGAAAGTTTCATCTGTTCGGTTCAACGTGAATATTTGTATCTCGAAAAGTTGTCATCTGTTCGACAAACAAGATTTCAGGAGATACAGTTAACTTACATGGTGCTTTTCTTCAATTGAAAGAATTTTAATTTAAATTGAAATACACCCTTAATTTGATAGCGGATAGATCCATGGACATCATAATTTGCGTGACACCGGCCGTCGAAGCGTTAAAGGGCATATATTTACATCAAGTATTTTTGCCACACTCCCATACATCCAAAGCCTGTATATCGATTTTTTTTCGAATCGCACAGTCAATGATCAAATATTCGCTCAATTTTCGTCGAGGAATGATAGACCTGAGGTAAATAACCGGTCACAACAACTGTATATCCCACTCTTGTGAGCCTGGAGTAACTGAAGTGGGAGAAACAAGTTCTGTGACCAATATGTCATGATGTTACACTACATCGTTAATACAAGGGCTCTGTTCCGATATTTTTCTTACAGTGCTTTATTTCCATTGATTGATTTATTGATTGATTTATTTATTTATTTATTTATTTATTAATAACTACCGTGTAATAGATTCCGACACATTATACATTATTTCCTCCGCATGAAGTGCTTTACAATTAACACCATTTCTATGAAAGAAAACCGTGTCCTCATCGCGAGACTAAGCATTGGCAAGAATGTTCATTGCTTTTTAGAGTTACAATACGTTCGATAATAATAAATAAACGAAATTATAATTATTTCAGCGCAATGCTATGTAAGCATACAGATATGGTAGCATTTTTACATAGAAATACGCATACAGAGTATCTCGTAATAAAAAACGACGAGGATATCTTATTCACCTGAGAAACCCAATTCGTCATTGCACCCACTTGTAACGTATTTAAATCTTAAAGTAACTCTTCGTATATCAGTCTTTGTAATTCAACTTCCCGTACTTCTTTTTTTCATTCGAATTTCTAACTTCCAGAATGAAAATCTGTTTTAGTTGTAATGTTAATTTTGTTTGTTTTTTTTTCTTCTTT